CCATCCCATTCCAGACAGGCACAATTGTGGACACCATCACAAGTTCCCTTGATGTGGGTAATACACAGCTCCAGCCTGTTACAGGCAGGCATACCTGTGGATCCCATCGCGGGGTCCCTTGACATGGGGAAAACGCCATTCCTACACATTCCAGACAGGCACAACTGTGGATGCCATCGCAGGGTCCCTCATGATGAGGAACACGCTGCTCCATCCCATTCCAGACAGGCACACCTGTCAATGCCATCGCAGGGTCCCTCGTCGAGGGGATCAGGACAATCCACACAGTTACAAACAGGCACACCTGTGGATGCCGTCATGTGGTCCCTTGTCATGGGGAACAGACCCCTCCAGCCCATTCCAGACAGGCACACCTGTGAACACCATTGTGGGGTCCCTCGTCGTGGGGAACACACCTATCCAGCCCATTACAGGCAGGCATACCTGTGGATGCTGTTGCAGGGTCCCTCGACATGGGGAAAATGCCACTCCTGCCCATTCCAGACAGGCACACCTGTGGACACCATTGCGGGATCCCTTGTCGCAGGGAACATGCTACTCCAGCCCTTTCCAGACAGGTACACCTGTGGATGAGGTGTATATATAATATATAAATATATCTTTGTGGATCAGGTATATATATATATATATATATATATATATGACATATAAATATATCTTTGTGGATCAGGTATATATATACATATATGATTATGTATATATATATTTTGAATATATATTCAAAAGGATGGAAAAAGACATTTCATCCAAATGGAATCTGAAAACAAGCAGGATTAGTCATTAGGTACTGGTAAGAGAAAAATCCATCAAGAAGACATAACTATTGCAAACCAACACACTGAACATTGGTGCACTCAATTTCATAGAGCAAACAGTAGTCATTCTTCTTTCTTTCCTTCCTTTCCTCCCTCTTTCCCTCTAACCTTCATTTCTTCCTACCTTCCCTCCTTCCTTCCTTCTTTCTACAGTGTCTAATATATATCAAGTACCAATAGAGGCACAGAGAATACAAAATTAAGAAAAAATAAATTTGATTTCTGACTTTATAGTTTAATGGGAAAGATATATCATAATTATATAGTCATAAAAATAAATGTGTAATTGCTACTAGATACAGGGTCAATGAAGAAAAGTTACAACATGCTAGGACAGATATGACACAAGGGAAAGGAGGCTATTCAGAACAGACTAAGATCTAAAAGGTGAGTGGCAATTAAATAAATTAAATAAATCAATAGAAGCTAAAAGCATTCCTACCAAAGGACGAGGCATTTACAACAGAATAGCAAAGGTCCTGAGGTAGGAGTGGACATAGCCTATTTCAGATTCTGAAGAATATACTTGAGACAGAAGACAAGGGATATTTGATGAGAGATAAGCCAAGAGTATGAAAAGTTAGATGCCAAGCTCTGGTGATTTAGTAACAAAAGAAAAAATACAAGATTCTAAGTCCACTTTAATTTCAGATAAGCAATGAATAATTGCATGAGCATACTTATAAAATAAAATAGTGGCTGATTTCAATACCCCACTTTCACAAATAAATAGGTCATCTAGATAAAAAATTAACAAGTGAGAATTAAACTACATTACAGGCTAAATGGACTTAACAGACACCTATAGAGTATTCCATCCAACAATAGCAGAATACACATTCTTTCAGCAGCTTATGACATTTTCTCCAAAATGGACCATATTAGTCTGAACAGCAAGTTTTAAATATAACAAGTTGAAATAATCTCATGTATCCTATCAGATCACAATGAAATGAAACTAGACATCCACTACAAGGGAAAACACAGAAACTACACAATGAAGATTGAATAAAATAGTTTGAACAATCAGTAGGTCCCTGAAGAAACTAGGAGAAATTCAAAACTCCTTAGAATCAAATAATAGTGGAAACGTAATATACTAGAATCTGTGGGATTTAGTGAAGACAGTACTGAGGGAAACATAACTATGAGTGCCTATTTTGGAAAAACAGAACAATCTCAAATAACTAGCCTAATGATGCATCTCGAGGTCCATAAGAAGATAAAAAAAGCCATATCTGAAACTACAAGAAACAAAGAAAATATAAAGATCAGAGCTGAAATTAATGAAATAGAAACTACAAGAACAATACAAAGGATTCATTAATCAAAGAATTGGTTCTTTGAAAAGATAAGATGACAAACTATTAGCCCAACTAACCAAAAGAAAAAGATTAAAAAGAAAAAAATTAAAAGCAAAAATTTGATATTTCGAGATACCACTGAAATCCAGAGGAGTATTAAAAACTATTTTGAAAACGTTTATTTCAACAAATTAGAGAATATAGAAGAAATAAACTTCTCCCTCTGTTTTCTTTTTTTGTTTGTTTTTGTGGGTACTAGGGATCGAAGTTGGGTCCACTGTACTTGCAAAGCAGGCACTGGAAACCAATGAGCTAAATCCCCAGCAGAAATAAACTTCTAGATACATATAACTACCAAAAGTGAACCAGGAAGATATATAATCTTCTAAATAGATCAATAATAAGCAAAGAGACTGAACCAGTAATAAAAGGTCTCTCAATAAAGAGAAACTTAGGACTAATTTACTGGATAAATTTATTGCTCAATTTTTCTAGACTTTTAAAGAACTGTCACTATTGCTCTTCAAATTATTCCATGACATAGAAAGGGAAGGAATGCTTCTAAATTCATTCTACTAAATCAGTATCACAGTGAAGGCAAACCCAGATAAGGACTCAAAAAGAAGGGAAGAGAAAGGGAGAGGAAAGGAGGGAGAGAAAAACAAAATCATGTCATATGCAAGAAAATGAGTGGAACTGGATACTATCACATTCAATGAAATAAACCAGACCGAGAAAGACAAATATAACATGTTTCCTCTACATGAAGTATCTAGGGAGGGAGAGAACACATGAAAGTAGAAGGGAGACTTAAAGAAGACTAGGAAATTGGAGAATAGGGGAAGAGAGGGAAGGTAATGGGGGAACTGATCAAAGTACATTACATGCATTTATGAAGATGCCAAAAGTAAAACCACTACTCTACAAAAGTAATATGCATTAATTTAAAAAATCAAGTAGATTAAAAAAAAATCAAGCAGTGGGGCTGGGAATTTAACTGGTTCCACTGCCTATCTCGCAAGTGCAAGGACTCGAGCTCGATCTCTGGTACCAAAAAAAAAAAATCAAGTAGCAATTGGCTATATGATCCTGGACAGATTTTTGATATGAAAGACCAAATTGGTTATGCAAAATTTTATTATTGCAATATAAAGAGCTGGAAGCAGAAAAAAAAAAAAAAACAACCAAAGTAACCATCCAGTCCAGTTTATATCCAAAGCATACATTACCACTGGCCTTTTCTGGCTTTGACTTAATTACTAAGCCTCGAGTTAACTACTTTATTACTATCTCCTTCTATTACCAATTACCCTAGTCATTACAAAGTATGATATTTAATCAAAATGCATCTCCCTGTAACTATTCTACATTGATTCTACTTTTCTGCACATACACTGTGCTACAGAATTTGCAGATGGGATCCAGACACTCAAGTTTTCCAAAAGTAATGAAATAAATTGACTTTATTTTTAAAAGATAGAAAAAGTGGTGCCACTGCCTGCCTTGCAAGCACAAGGCCCCGAGTTTGATCCTCGATACCAAAAAAAAAAAAAAAAGATTAAAAAAAGAGGTGGACTTAAATGAAGGAAGCAACAGTTGGGCAGGCTGATCAGGAAGTACTGTTAATTATCACTAGAAAGCATCAGAGTGTTCAAGGTCCTTAACAAGATTTGTCCTAGTAAGTGACTCTGGTTACCTCCACAAAAATCAATGTTTAAGTAATTATAAGGTAGGAGGAGGGG